GTATGGCCCTTAGCAGACTCCCAAACTTCCCTGTTTAAAATAAATTGAAGACAATTAACAAGAACGAAACAAGGAGATAAATGAACATTAATGCAATTAATTTTATCTTCCTGATTTGTAKATTGAAACAAATTATTGTATTTACCTCTCAGTTTTGATTTTGAGTTTTGCTGGATGTCCTTTCAATGCAATATTCTTCACTCTATTTGATATTCGTGTGTAGAATAGTGTGGACATTATATGTAGTCTGCTGGAGTCAGCATTTTGACATCTTTCAAACATGATATAGCTATAAATAATAGAATAATTATTGCATGTTAATGCAAAGGACATTACAATTGAAAATATTAAAAAGCTTTAGTTGAAAATATTAAAGCTGGTAGACTTAGCTTACTTTAGTGAAGCATCTATGATGAGATCATTCAGTTTTTCCCCTTCTTGTAAGCACTTCAACTCTTCTTTAGTAATCAAATCAGAGTACTTGCTTCTCCAGCTTGAAGATGTAGGGGATGTGACTAAAACAGTTGTTTCTTCATCATCAGAATCATCTGTGGTGGATGGTTTTGAGCAGGTTGGTGATGTCAATGATATGCATGGTCGGGCTGGTGATTGCAATGATGTCGATGGTCGGGCTGGTGATTGCAATGATGTCGATGGTTGGGCTGGCGATTGCAATGATGTCGATGGTTGGGCTGGCGATTGCAATGATGTCGATGGTTGGGCTGGCGATTGCAATGATGTCGATGGTTGGGCTGGCGATGGTGATGGCAATGATGTTGATGGGTGGGCTGGCAATTGTGATGACATATTAAAAAGTGGGTGGGTTGGTGAAGCTGATGTCGATGTCAGTGGTGAAGATGGGTTGGGTGGCGCTGGGCACTGTACAGAAGATGGCAAATCATCAAAAATCGATGTGAATAGGGAGTCATCAGAGTCAGAATCGCAAGGGTTTTTTGATGAAGTTTTCTCAGGGCTGTTGATTGTAACATGGACATTGTATGTCTTCCTCAACATATCTGCCTTTTTTCCAACCCTATTTCTATGTCGCCAGTGTTTCTGCTTTTTGGCTGGAGGCTGATACTTCTTCAAGCAC